TTAGGATGCTTCGTTTACTTATTAATCTGGTTTCTACCATCTGCTTGGTGGTTCCAAGTCATCAAGATAGTTAATATTTGCGATATGGACCCGAAATTAATTTTGCATTCGCGGAAATTTGTAGTCTTCAGAACATCGCGAGAAAAAAATACTTGGATAGCTTATGGGCTATCGCGGGAATTTATGACGACATTCCTGCCTCTAGCTATAATTTTTATCTTTAACATCTGGTCTTTGAAGCGAAAAAAATTTTTGCTAAAATGCAATAAACCTGTTCTCCTTACATCATTTAACATGAAAAGGATCACTCCGATGCCTCTGCGTGAAAATGATGGGAGGGGTGAAGATACAACTTCGCCGATCTCACACTTACAATTCAACGTTATTAATATATTTTATGATATGGAGATAAAGACGAATCGCTCCATAAAATATTATCAGCCAGACATCCACGCAAGTTACACCAATTTTAACAATATCCAGGAACTCAAAATGAAACGCAAATGGAAAGAATACAATATGAACAAAAGAATGTTTCTTATAAACATGTCGGAATATTTGATATTCCTATTTCCGGTGACTTTTTACATAATAATCGTCGACTTCTTAGAATCTAATACCTTATCTGACCACAAAGAATTGATTTTCAGTATTTGTACCTTAATTGAATATATGTATGTGTCCCTTACGTTTTATGTTAATTTCCTGTTTAACCCCGGTTACCGAAACGAGATAGTGAAGATTCTCAGGAAATCTGTTAGACGCTTCAGGATATAAAAATGAATATTTCATCTATATATATATATAATACTGATTAGAAATAGAAACTGAGTATATCGTTCATTTTTATAAAACTTTTGTGGTTTTAGCATTTGCAACAAAATGACTTTTACAAATGTTATTATAATGTGAAACAATTTTTTGGTTAAAAACTTCGTTTATATTATGCATCGAAATAGAAAAAGATTTTATCAGATCCCTGAGACAGATCTAAAAAACTAGATTTCCATATCCGATGCACGATTATCTCGATTGCCTATTCCTAATAAATACCATTGATGATAAGGCCAAGACACATATTTATCTGTTATTTATTTTCTAATTTTAGTTTTCAATTTTAAATACTTTATATTTCATTTTCCACAATAAACAAATATGATTATTAGTTCCTTTTAAAATCACCCCAAGAGTGAGGTATAAATCAAATTATTGATTTTTTCTATCGCTCTTATTAGTAATCTCCATAAGTTTTTTTTTATTTATGTGCATATGGTTACTGAAAGGTGTTTGATTAAATTTAGGTTTTCCATTCTTCATAATATACAATGCGTTTTTAATTGAATTGATACCCTTTTTTGTTTGAGCAATACGCCTATCAAGTCTAGAAATAATAATATAAAATTTTATAGATTGAGAGGGGGATAAATTATCAATAATGTTTAATGCAAATTTCATCATATTCTATCAACAGGAAACATCAACATCTCAAATTAATTTGAGTTAAATGTTGTACCAATAGATTCGCCCCAACTTGTTTTTTTTATCATTGAAACTGCAAGATACACCCTATTATTCCGCAGTACTGGTGGAGTTACTGTACAGTTTTTCATCCGTGAATTATATGATATGAACTAACCTCTGAGGATATTGTAGAGGTTGTGTTTGGTACGTAAGGCAATCTTATTCGTATCGGGGTCCTGGGCTTGTTTCTTTTTTAGACATTTCAGCTGCAGCCTGCAGCTCTTTATAGATGGTCTAATGTACGGAATGTCAAATACCAGTTTCCCGGGATACTTAGCGAATTGTTCTGTGGGTGCCAGGTCGATTTTCTTGCTTCAATAGTGTTTCAACGGAATCAACATCTTCTATAGGCTGTGCGTGGTCTATCCACCATACCATTTTTCTGAAGATCCGGTTGAATCAATTTTTGCAATCAATCGGTCCAACGCTTCGATAGACAGTTTCTAGGAAATTCTTACAAAAATCTTTTGGCTGTGTAATGTTTTTCTTGTCTTAAAATTTTAATTAAGCTCAAGTCATCTTTACTAAAAATCATTTTTTTTTAATTATCGTCTGCTTAAATGTAAAGTGACATATATATTTTTAGAACGCTAATTTTGTTCATTCATCCTTTATACTTTTTTTTGTGTATTTTTTTTTTGTAAATTTTATTTAGTCACTTTTATGCGTCTTAAAATGATTATTCGTTGTTTTATAAGTTATTTTTTTTCGTTAGAGTGAGTTAGAGATAAAACTGTTAAGTCTTAGGTTTCAGCCATATTTAAGCTTGTTCTTATAGTTTTGAAAGTCGATTTGATAATTCAAATAGAATCTTATATCGAGGCTAGATACAAGATTATGGGAAAGACTATCTAAGGCTAGAGACTAGTTGGAGAGCTAGAGCGATCGCCATAAGAGTATGCTGATTTATATTAATTAAATTCATAACATTAGAACGCTTTACCCTCAATAGCTCTAAGATTCAATTTGAATTATCAAATCGACCATTAAAGCTTCAGACAAAAATAAGCAGTGTATATAAAGCTGATAACGCCGACTATTATAATGGTGATTAACAGATAGAATTTTAACATAATTTGACTTTATACACAATTGGGACTAACATTGTGTTTGTAACTATTATTTATTTATACCAATGTTTATTTGTTATCTTTATCCTAAATTATAATGCCTGAAATTATTTTTGATAATTATATTGTTTATTTAAGGCTATATATAGTGCCAATTAATTTGGATAGTATAATATAATATTCTAAATAATTACTTAACAGCATCTACTTACTATAGATAAACGGCCGAAAGAATATGACGATTAGAGGCCTCAATAGTTATATTTTTAGAAGTTAGGCGGGTATAAGGGTAATATTTTTGGAGGAAGGCTTTGGTTTGGTCTCTGCTAAATTTTCTATGATGTGTAAGCTTTGCTTGTTTATATTTTAGCAGCACTTTCTATATAAAGTATACAATCTAAAAAAAAATTTTTTTTATCACATAATAGTCGGTGCTCAATATATTATGTGCCACCCTAATTCTTTTTATTCGCAGATTTCTATATAGTAAAAAAACATATGATAAAAACGATTATTTTAGTAAAATAGAATATATTTCTTGGATGAGGAAAATTGTAAGCAACACCCCCAAAATTTTCCTTTACTCCCATAAATATTTTAACTACATGCCTCCGAGAGTATACCCTTACCTCTCTCGAAAGTATATGGTGACAAATGGCTTGTATTCACCCCCCCCCCCCCATCTTCATGTAGACACTTAATCTTAATGAAAAATTTTAATTTGATAATGAAAATGTTTTTGAGGATAATTTTTTCTTATAAATTTATTGGGTTAATAAATAATGTGAGGAAAAAAATTGCTTTAATATTAAACGAGAATAGGAGACATACGAACCCCCCCCCCTTTCCATAAAAAATAAAACCTTTATATCTAAAGCTACTAATCATGAAACTTTGCAGAAAAATAGTTTAGCATAGAATTTAAAACCTATAAATAAATCAGGTAACAGAAAGTTTTAATAAAAATTTAAAAAACTCTGTCGTTTAGTTATGCCCTAGTATATCACTCAAGATCTAAAGGATAGTAGAATTTATTCTTCCCCTGAAAAAATCTTAGTTCTAGGCAGGGCTAACTGGCAATAGCTATTTATTCACATTGACATTATGAATATAATATTATATAAATTGTAATTCAAAATTTATTCAAAAATTTAATATTAGCGAAAAATCTAATAAAAATCAAAACATCGAAGTAGTATTCAAAGAAATCATAATTTAGGCTCATTCTGATTTTGATTCTTTTGTTTGGTAGTGGGTTTAAAGGGAAAAAAATTATTGAGAAAAAATGAAAAATTGTCAAAATTAGTTATGCCAGAACGAAGAAACATCATGTATTTAGCGCCTTACTAATTCTTTAATCAAATTCGCCTGCTACATAAAAAGTAACTGAATACGAACCAAATATAAACTATGTTATCCTTAAGCAATTAGACAAAGATCTGGAAGCTTCTAGGATCTTTATATATACTGTTTATATATCATTGTATGAATCTGATATTAAGAAGACGCTATCTGCCAAACATTTGAAAACACTAATTCTAAAGTTTAGGTCAATATGTTGCTTACAGAGTATACATGTTAGTTCAATCTACAATCCGTTTGGTATTCAGTATTAATAAGAAAGTTATTAATAAAATACGAAAATTACTAAAATTGACATAATCATAATAGGGAAGAATTTAGAAGCACCAAAGCAATTATAATAAAAAATATCAAATATGTCAAATATCTAAAAAAAACTATAATTATCATTATTATAAAAAATTGTTTTTATCATCTTTTAAAATATGAGACTCGATGTGGCTTTAGCTTTATACAATAGACTTGTGGCAATCTTAAATTGGTTATCAAATTGAGATGAATTGGTTATGTTTATTGTTGTTAAACTTTACTATAATTTTGGCTAAGATCTATATCCGGCCTTTTTAAAAGTCGCTAGCTATGGTTAAATTGTAAACAGTTATAGTAGCTTATTTTTTTATACTCATGATATAATGTTTTTATAAATAAAATAGAATTAGCTAAATGTTGATCCGATACGAATCATAGTGTCTTTGGGTCCCTTTTTTTATTTTATTTGTGTGTTCAATTTTGCTAATTCGATAAATTTTTATGAATATTTTACCCACTTTTTTTTTAGAATATAATATTTCCCAGATGATTTTAAGAATTAGAAAATTAAGGAGGGAGTTTTATCAATTTTTAAGAAATGAAAGCAAATTTTCGTCTAGTTATCAATATATAAGTATTATGAAAACAAAAATTTTACATAATCATATTAAAAATTGGGGAGGGGTGGTTTATGCCACTGATAGGACTATTAAACAATTGTCATGCAGTCCATTTTCGACAGTTATTAAATATCAATCACTCTATTTTCGAATACTTATTTATCAGGATTTTCTTTAACACCAAATTTAATTTTACGAAAAAGTTGTTTTTCGCTATGCCAAATATTCGTTAAATAAATTTACATAAAATGATTAAAACTAATTATTTTGATAACAACATCGATAAATTATTTAATACACCTTCAAACAATCATGAACCAAATTCTGAAGAATTCTTATATGATACCCCTTCAAACAAGTAAAATATAATGGATTATTTCCTGTCTAATTATTTTATCTCATTTAATTTTTAGCTATTATATCCACTCCTGATTAATTAAAATTGATGATTTTTAAATATTTAAACATATAGGCTTTGTACAGTTGTGACATGTACTTTTGCTTTTTCCACAATATTGTTATGAACTAATTTATACATTCATGAACAGAAGGCAAAAGATTATGAATGCATAAAATTTGGATTATTTTAAGACCTGGTTTGAATTTAAAAATTTTGTCAATAATCTTATTTTGCCTAATTTGGAAATTGTTTCAAAGAAAATATGAGTAGAAAATAAATGCTGAGTGATATATTATATTATTTTCCAACAAGTTAATTTATATCAGAGACCTTTAGAGATGAAAATTTTAGGCCCAGTTCTGATTTAAAAAATATGATTTTGTTTCAAAACTTAACCAGGATTTACGTTAACACAAAAATGGGTATTTAATATTTTATTCTAGCCTATATTTTTTTGATATGGTGCTAAATTTTTAAAAATTTTGGCTATATATTTTGTATTAGTTTATAAATAATATTAAAAATATAGATGTAAATTTAAATTTTTCTAATGAACTAATTGATTATTAATCTTTATATGAATGTATAAATAAATACACTAGCTGTCTCAATATTAATGAACAATATTGATCAATATTCCACGGCAGACTGAATCATGGACTGGAAGCAAATTGGCTTTGTGCAGTCTTTAAAATAATTATTATTTAGCTGACATAATTGAATCAATTTAAACTGGTACATTGATCTTAATTGATTATCATAGTTAGGCAAGTTAGTGCTATGCCAATATTAAATATTGGATTGGATGGGCACAGATATTTAACATTTTCAAAATATATCAAGTCAGGCCAATACCTGTAAAAATCAATCCAATCTTTTTACTTTTATTTTATTTTATGTTTTATATATATTTATATAGTTTATTATACATTATTATATATTTCAAAGGATTTTTTATTTATTTTTATAAAAATTGAAAGATACTAAAAAAAAAATTTTTAAATAATTTTTTATTATAATGGAAATGCAAAACCCCCTAAATTTATTTATTTAAATTGAAAATCTAAGAGGAACTAGTAACAAATAAAATAATTGAAATCGATGATAATGTAGATGACCAGCCATACATGAAAGAAATCAAGGAATTTTTAAAAGAATCTTTATATCTAGATGTATAATAACATATTTTTTATATTTTATCTAGTATTGCTTGGTTGGGTTGTGATTGACCCATTTGTTTGGGTGGTATATGATATTTTTCAAATCCCACAAAAGGTTGGGTTTGTATGAAACCCACTATTTTAAATATGTTAATTTTGTGTTTATTTAGAGAATTAATATATCCCCTGTGGATCTACTTGTATATTGGAGAAATAATGCTGAAAAGTATCCAACTTTGTCAAAACTTGCATGTAAATTTTTGACGCCTCTTGCAACAAATGTCCCATCTGGGTCTATCTTCAGTATGGGGGATATAGATAGCCCACATTGTAGTAGCTTATTGCCAGAAAATTTAGAGGCTCTCATATTTTAAAAAATCTAACATTATAATTTTATATATGAAATATTACAATTTTATAATTCATACCAACATATATATATTATTCAAAATAAAATGGATACATTATTAAGTAAATATATATATTCTTTATCTATTATAATAATTATGGTCTTAATTGTAGAAATAAAAATATTAAAATAAAATAAAATTTAAAATTCGATTTTTTGCATTGGAAATATGGATTCTTTAATGGCATTTGGTTTAAAGGCAGGTGGTAAAAAATTAATATGGATCGGTTTTGAACCAATATCGGATCAGTGAAAAATATATGGATCGGCATAGCTCTAATAATGGCTAGAAATCAGTTAATTTGGCTCAATCTACAGCTGTGTACACATAAAACCCACTAATTTTGGAAAAATCAAAAGGGATAGATGTGACAGTTATAATCTTTATCCTGCTAAAGAATTTAACTAGCAAATATACCTATTATGATGTAAAAATTACATTTTATATTTTTAAAAATATTATCAGGTTTATAAAAATAACATAATATAAAAACTATATTAAGTTTAAAAAGGAAATCAATAATTGTTTAGGAACACAGTTATATCGGCTAATGTAAAATTTTAATAGACTATCCACGATCTTCATTTATGGGATCTTAGCACCCATTGGTAGAGCTAACTTAAATAAAAATTGGAAAGGGTGTGGTACTTTAAGCTTTTTGGCCTTTGAGCTATTATGGGTTAATGTTTGGATTAGAGGAGAACTGGAAGACATAGGTGAAATCCAAAATAAGATGCCCTATAAACTGAGGGATATTTTGTAAAACCATCTGGTTGCCATCAAATAGAGATAAGTGAATGGGTTCAAGGGGCTTAATTAAGATTTTAGTCAAATTAATATTATGAGCCTTGAGATTTTACAGATAGATGTCCAAACTAATGGTCTGCAATTGGAAAACCCCACCCACTTGTATCTTTAAATTTTGTTTAACCTGCCCACTTTTAATAGTATGAACAAATTGAGAGTTTCAAAGGCTGCATTGCAAGTGCTAATAATGCCTCTTAAATGGCATCATGCAAATTGGTGAAATACCGTTTGGCGTTAGCAACCATTTAAAAAAACGCAAACAGGTTTGCTTTTTCAATACTTTTTATTCTTCGTTTTGTAATATTATATAAAATGTAATAACTTACTTATATCCTAAAAAGTAATATTTAGAAATTAATGAAATAAGAACGCAGACGATAATATAATTTTCAAAAACAAATCCTTTTTTTAGAACCTATTTAAAATATCGACGGATATTAATAAAAAGACAACCTCAATTTGAACAAGGGACGCATTACGTTTTTTTATTTAAAAATTACGACAAATCGTAAACCCTAATTTGTGCGCATTATGTTTAAAAATTATTTTAATGGCCGTTTTGGCTCTTTATTTATTATTTGTATGTATTTTTAATTAAACATATAATATACGATATTATGAAATAAAACTATTTTTTGATAAATTGAAGTCTGTTTCGCCTAAAAAAATACATTATTAAAAATTTACCTGCCTACGCCCGCCCGTTACTTTGGAAAAAATATTTTGCCCGCTACCCGCCCATTGTTAAAAATATTTTAGAAAACTCGATGATTACCCCCCCCCCCCCCCCCGAATTACGGGTGGGCTAAAAATGCGTCTTTGCAAATCTCTAGTCAAAACCTTTCTGCTATATGAGCAAAATCTGCAGGTTTGCATAATATTCTTTTGGTTATAATCTTAGTCGAGCCATTTTAAAAATGGACCCGAATCGGTTTTTTTATTACATTTATAAATTGTAAAATTTTATCTTATTTTTTTATTATGCCCATTTACAAACGAATTGAATAGTGTCGAAAAGTACAAGCAAAATTAAGTTATTAACGAAATTAAAATGCATATTTATATAATTTATAATGCCACGCCAATTTTTAAGGTAAATAGTTTTTTATTAATGCTTATTCTTTACTGGACATGCGAATTTGACAGTAAATTAGTTCCAACTAAGAAAAGCCTCTACAGCTTGGTAGATGTATAACGTGTTAATCAATCTGATTGATAGGTTAATAATAGAAATGACAAAATGATCAAATTTAATTTAAAAACATTAATAATTATTCCGAGTAATTTTAATATTCGATCAAATCGAATTGTTTATATTGGTTATCTTTTATACTATCCGAACATTCGACTTAGATTCGTTTTTGTATAGGTCTAACTTTATAATTAACAATAATTAAAATTATTTTTTAAAAAATAATCATATGATCATCAATTTAAAATCCTCGTGAAAAATTAATTATAATACTGATTCATCGGTAAAATTTTCTTATTTGACTGGTGGATAAATAAAATAGTAAAGTCTCATCATAATCCCTATCTCCTAGTTATATGCGGTTACGGCACAAAAAAGCTTTGCAAAATAAAAAAAATAATTTATTACATTTTCGAAAATATCGCTTTAAAAAAAATATATAAAAACTTTAAAAAAAAATTGTACACCTTTAGGTTAAGTATCAATTAAAGAGGAATTTTTATATAACGACAAAAATGCGTATTAAGGTTTTAAAATAATGTGTCATTGCTTGAGAATTTGATTGTTCTATATCCACATTTTGTCAAAAATTACTTTTTTTTACATAAATCAATTTTTTTATATTATATCATTCTATTTACATTAAAAATCCAAATGTTTATAAAATGTCAAATTAAATCCGATACTAGGTTAATCAGCTTATTGAAAACAATAAAAACTTAATTTTTTAAAAATTGCTCTCTTGTAAAATTATAAAAAGTGGAGATAGAATATTCTAATTCTCAGGCGAATGTATAAATGTTTTACGAGATAAAAATTTATAGAAATAAAACCTCTTTAAAAAAATCATTTTTTAAATGTTTTTCTGGTGGAGATTAAATCAATCCCTTCTACTAGTAGGAATGATTATATATATCGCTTGGAGTTGTTTTTTCTTAAAAAACTTCAAAATTTATTATATGTTTTTAACGAATAAATCACGTGAACCCTTCCCTTCATATTAAAATTAGCCAATTGGGAACCTTTTAACAGATTACCTATTTATTTTAAAAAAAACTAGGTTATTGAAGATTGGTTAGTGCAATACTTAATCTGAGTTCTCGATAATCCCAGGTAGAATTTCATTTCCTGAGAATTAATTTGCATAACGGCAAAGAGGCTTGCATGACCTGATATATGTTTTTTAAACTAATTTAAGCAATAATTGTAGTTTTATATTTTTCTCAAAGATATGCAGAGAGAGTTGTAATATAAGGTTTTGTAATTACCCCCCCCCCCACCCTCTCAACTTTTGGTGTAAATCTTTCTTTCTTTATTAAAAGTTGATATATTTATGAAAGTCAGGACAATATATTTCTATGTAGGATTATTCTGCACTATTTAGTAAACCTGACAATTTTACCTGTCATTCCTGGGTTCCATCAGCTGGTACACCCATGCCGGGCCTAATAATAAAAAGAATGGAAATAACTAAACCAACCCAGATACTAAAGTTTGCTCTAACAATAGACCGTTTTAAAAGAACATTTGATATTCATCAAAACAATTTTTTCGATTATGATGATATTCAGCTTTGAAAACATAAAATACACAGCTAAATTTAATCACCAAAAAAAAATTTTTATTAAAGCCTAGGGTAGTTTTTAAATATCGAAATCTGAAGAAATTTGAATACTTTATAACAGTTTCAAAATGGGGTAAATTATGACCCACCCAACCCCTCGCGTTATCTACCTTACTCTAGTGTTGTTAAACGGCTCGTTTTGAGCCGATTTCTAAAAACGGCTAACTTAATCATAACGCTCTTAATAAGGCTAAAATTCCTAACATCCTAGAACCAACAAACCTCTCTTTACAAGATGGTCTCAGACATGACGGTTTAACATACACCCCATGGTCCAATGGGAAATCCCTGATTTGGGACGCAACCTGTGTCTCTTCCTTTCCCTCATCAATAAATTCAAACCCTCTTACTATCGGGGAAAATAAAAAAATTAATAAATACTCAATACTAAATAACTTTATTTTTCAACCTATAGTCATTTCAACTAATGGCAATTTCTCATAATCAACATATATTTTTTTTAAATTTTAGCACGTAAAATTTTTAACATTACAAATGAAAAACGCGAATCTATTTTTCATAAACAAAAACTCTAATTAAAAATTTTTAAACATAATTATACCTGTTTTTTAGGAACATTTTTACTATAAGCTCTTTTTAGGGCCATCGATATTTTTAAAATATAAATTCACTCTAACATATATATATATATATATATTCTTTTTATTTTTATATTTTGTTTACATGTTTTAAAGATAAATGAATTATAAAAAAACTTATTAAATAATATTTAATCTGGAAAAATATTAGGCAAGCCTGAAGATTTTGCTCATAGAAGGAACAAAGGTCTAGACTAGACATTATATTATCGAAATCTCGAGGCTTATATAATATTTTTCTGGCTAAAATATTGTTAGCCGTTTAAAAAAATCGGCTCAAATTAAGCTGTTTAACAAAACTACCTTACTCAGTATTTACCAAATTTCCAGGCACCCATAAAAATTTAAAATCAAATTACAAGAACAAAAAGCAGAAGATAGTTTATTCTTTTAAACATAATAATTTCATATTTTCATTTATTATTTAAAAAATAATTTTTGGATCTGGGATGGGAGATTAATTTTAATCCTATTCTAAATAATCGTTTGAGAGGCTATCAAAACATTTAAAAATTTAATTTGAAAAAATATAAATATCGTTAATCGCTAAAAAAATTGCTAAACTTTATCATTCGGTTTTCTTAAAGTTTTAAAAATTTTAGAAAACATTGTTTTCAACGTAACCTAAACAAACAAATCGATTTTTATATTACATACAAACAAAAGATTTTATAAAGGTTAAGCTCAATTTACCAACGTTGCACATTCTTATTCAAGTTCAAATTTTTATGTTTACATTTTACCAGTTGTTAAGAATAACTTTTCAAATGAGCATTTGAAGGTTTTTGAGCAAAAATCTTTGACGATAAATAAAATCGAAGATTTTTTACAAATATTTGCGATTTCATCATAAAAGATTTCTAATGAGTAAAATCACAAAATATTTAATTGTGCCATAACTGATAACCCCCAAAGCATTCTGACGTTTGTGAAATTGAACATTTGATAGTCAAAAAAAGTAAAATTATACATATAATAGTTATAAATTTATACGTGAGGGTAGTTTTAAATTCAATATATATTATACCTAATTAATAGAAATAAAAGCAAACCATAAAAAATTTTTAATGCGTAAACGTTTCAAAATATCCAAATTTTTGGAACGATATTTTGCAACCCACTATTTTTAGTTTGCTATCTTTTAACTCCTTGCGCTCAGGCGTTGGAACGTTCAGATATGATCTCAGCGGTAGAAAAAATATAGGGTATATTTTATTTGTAGGTGCGTTGTACTATATTGTGGGAAGAATTTTTGTCACTTGTTCAAAACGTGGAAGATGGCAAAATTATCATACATTATGCAAGGAATATATTTTATGCATGATGGTTTTTATGAATAATTATAAAAGCTAAATCAGTAACTGATTAAATTATTTTCTTTAATATATACAGAACGACGCCATTCCAAGCCTCGTCACCAAAAAGAGGCGCTCGAAAGAGCGATATGAGTAGCGGGGTATTTTCCTTGGCTTCTTCTTATGCCCTCGAGGAAGACGAAAATATCGACAAAGAAGGTGGCGATGATTTTTATAAGGTGGTTTACGATTGTCCTAATAAATTTGTCCCTTTGGTCCCCGTCAAGATGCGCAAATCTCGTTCACTTTTATGCCTTGAAGGTAAGAATAATAGGGAGAACGTAAATGATGACGCCTCTCTCATAAATAGGAATTTGCTGAACCAAAATTTATCTACCGAACCATCTTACGACCTTCACGAAATCAAGGCGCGCAATACATCACGCGAAAGCGAGCCCCCAAAAATTGATAATACCAAATCAGCCCGTGCCAGTTTTCCTCTTAATTTCGCCGTTTCATCTCACGACCATAATTCAAAATTATCAAGTCCCAAGCCTAGACCCACTTCTTTAAAATTCCACCACTCGGAACATCCCATTTACTGCGAAACTGACGATTCTATCCGAAACCATTTTCTAAATTTTTTACCGCCTCTTCTGAGTAACGGAAAAAATTCTCAAACGAATTCCGACTCATCTTTACCCTTCAGCGAATCTTATCATATTGCCCTGACCGAGGCCAGGGCTGACTTTCAAGCCATAAATTCCCGACTCACCTTACTTTGTGCTTCTTGTTTGGAATGCGATAACGACGAAATACCGACGGAACAAATATCCGAAACCGGTTCTTATTTTTCGATTTTATATGGAAGCTTTTGCGAGCTCGTCGGGAGTTCGTTACAAGGGCTGGAAAAGTTAAGCCACTGGGTCGCCCTTATTTCCCGTGATGACCAATCTGAACATATTGTTGATAAATTCAGTAAATCGAACATTCAGTTGAATAGCGGGAAAAGGGCTAAGCAGCAGCCTACGAAAAAACTGGTAGACACTACGAGCCCGATTACGAGAGCTATCAAAGAGATTAATGGCGCACTTGCCATAATGGAGACGAGCATTTCCCTGGCCAGAGCCCTGATTGATCATTATGGTCCAAAAGCTGAAAATTATTTTAAAAGGAAGGACGCTAGGAAGAGTCTTAGGAAAGTGGTCAAAGATACATTCGCTATCAACGACGTTAGCATGACCAGCAAAGGATGGGGGGCAGTTAAAAAAGACATCGCCCGAGAATTATTCGCTTCTATCAGCAGATCAAAATTCGGTAAAAATAGCAAGGAATTAGTACACCATTTTTCCGCTATTAAAACTGACAAAACGAAGGAACAATTCGCTCCCTCGAATTCGTTCGAGCTTATATCCTCGCGAGAAAATTCCAAACTGTGTCGAACGTTGGCCAAAGCCATCCTTATAGTCAAGAGCGTCCTCTCCGATCTTCTCCTCAATCAATTCGACCTCGAATTCTCGATTCCGGTAAACGTCTCCTTAGCCAATCTAAATATTTCCCGTATGACTAGTCGCCCTTTGCCCATTCCCCCTACCAAACCATCTCTTTCTCTCTTTCCCCTGAGTACTTTTGAATCAATTGACCATAGCCCCGCGAACGCCTTTAGACCCAGTTCTAACCCCGAAGTAGTATTCGATCAAAACGCTTCTAATGACTATACATTTAATCAGCGTATACAATCCACGCTTTCCGGTACAGATTTTGTCGATGATTCAAAAAACTCAGAAAAATCGCCTATTTCTTCTACCCAAGCGACCCTTGACATATTAATAAATCAATTAACCATGAAAAATTCGGACCTAAGTACCCTCTCGGAGACACTTAAAGGCGTCATAACGACCTTGGCTCAATTGCTACTTTCTTTACGAGGAAGGGGGGACGCTAATATTTCTGAGGCCGTTACCTCCTTGACTTTAGCCATCTTAAAACACGTCGAAAGTATTCGAAATTCGGCGTTTTGTCAAGAAGACGTCATGAAAAGTATACAGGAAAATGCCAGGTTTTTTTTAATACAATTTTTATTCATTTTACCTTGCTTACAAAGCTGATTTTTTTAGCTTCGCTTTTAAATATGATATAGTTATCCATCTAAAAATTTAGGACAATTATATCTTACATTATAGTTACCAAAAGCAAAAAAAATGGCCTATTCATTAGATTTATTACCCGAAGAAATCGCCTAACCAAAAATATTTTCGACTTTTTATAAAAATATTTTGTATTAATAAATATCGAATCCAATACCCTAAGCTCCCTTGATTTCTCCGCCGATGAGACTAAACGAAAAGCTTTGGAGGATAACTTGAAACTCATTCGCGAAATCCGCTCCCGCTTTACGCCCATTCAAAATGCTTGCGGGTATAAATTCGATCACATATCCAAGCAAATCATGGATAACTTATCGGGACAAGTCGATGCGCTATCTGGTATCGATGATCTGGTCGAGGCCATGAGAGAAATATGGAGGTCGGCCACATGCCTCAAAGACGCTTCCTCTTTAGCCACATCGGCCATCGTCTCTTCCCTAAATGCCCTTTTACATATTTAGCGCTTAAATCAAACGTGAATCTTATTTTTGTATATTTTTAAAATCTCAATTATTTCGATGAATAATAATCTCATCACCCAACTCAAAATCAATTTAGCCAAGTCAATCAATCTCCTTACCCCTCTTGAATTAATGTGATCAACAATTAAAATAAATCAAACTCAAAAAAAATCATATTATTATAGCCAATTTTAATTATTTTCTTTTTTTTTCAATTCTGCATTTTTTATTATAATAGTGGGAGTAAGTGGCGCAAATCATATTTCGTCTATAATTTTGCTTCCCAACTTATCTCTAAAAATGAAATTTCTCGCATTTAATAGAAACAACACAATCATTCCCAATTTTTTTACATATATTTATAGTAATATATATATTTTTTTACTAAATATAAAATTTATAATATATTTTGTTTGCCAAAAGAAGAATTGGCGCTTTAAAAAAAAAATATGTATCAAATTTTCCGGTTCGGTTTATATCTCTCGACTTGGGTTCTAAAATTTTAATTTTAAGCTCGACCAGCCCGGGTTTTAAAAATGTTTTAGACCCGACCCGGGTATATTTAAAAAATTAGAATCCCGGTTTAGGGCCGGGCCTGCATTTCTCTGGTTTCTGCTTTATTTTATTATTTTATAGAATCAATCCCTTTATACTATTCTTCTTTTTTTTATAACTAGTCATTATATTTTTTTTAAATTTAATAATTTTAAATTATCATTTATTTTTATATTTAGTTTGATTTTGAATAAATATTATCATATTGTGTTTTTTTTTTTGAAAAAAGTTAAAATTTATAATTCATAAAAAAAATAACGAATTTATCACGTTTTTTTTATAAAAAATAATTAAAATAAAGATTATTATTATTCTCTCTTCATTGTTTGTTGCTCCTTTTCTTCTTTTTACTAGACGGCGAGAACTATAGAGAACTTTACTAAATTGAGTGGATAATAAGTAATATTCAAATTAAACAATTTTAACCGTAATGAGAATTATTTATAAAAGAAACGCACTTAAAATTGTAAAACTAGAATTATTTCAAAATATTCTCTCAATTAGTGATAATGCAGTACTTTTGTTCATTATAAACCTTTTAGGTCTGCATGCCTGATTCCAATATCATCAGATTGGCGCTTGTCTTGTCATTATTAGTATATTTATTTAAGCCAGAGTTTATTTCAATCTATTTATAAGAGCTATGTGATTCGCACAATTAGCTGTGATAAAAAAATAAATATATAATATATTCATTATTTTTATAAAAACCACCAATCAAAATCCGGTTATTCTTAACCAGTTTGCATGATAATTTACTATACAATATTAGCTAACTCCAGTAGGCAATAATAAAAGATAATAGGAGAACCAATGGAAATAGGACAAAGCTGAAAATGCATGAAGAGTTTTACAAAATCAATTTTTTCATGCTTATTTTTTTTATAACTCCTTTAGGAAAAATGTATTATACAAAACAAAAATTTTAAAAATAGTATTAAATTTTAAAAGAAATTTTATGATTGATTGTTAATTGATTAATAGAAATGTGAAAAAAAAACTTATTAAAATCAAAAAAAAATTGTGTAAATAATGGGGGGAAAATAAAATAAATATATGTAACCTATCTAAGTTTACAAATTTTTATATATTTTTTAAAGTATTTGTTATTTTGATTGTAATAATAATAATATCCTAATCTAACCTTTATCTCAAATGTTGCAACTTGTGGAGTATTCGAAAAAAATACGTGATTTTTTCCATTCAAAAACTATGCTAAACATGACAAGAACAAAATAATCTTACTTCTTTTTTTTCCTCCGGTTAACAAAAAAAAATATATATATAAGATAAATAAAAAAAATTTTGTTTCTATTTTTTCATTGTCACCAAAAATTGCATTCTTTATGTTTTTTTTCTAGCAATGTGCTATTTGAGTGCAATTTTTATAAATTTATAAATCGGATTTTATCATGTTTGGAATACCTATCTTATGAATTGTAGATGATTTTTGCTGTTAACCTTTAAGTCATTTATAATTTATTTATATAAAATGGAAAATCTTATATTAAATTATATTAAGTTTAAAAGTTTATGGTAAATATTGTCTTAAATTTGTAGGGTATTCCAAATTGGAATACATTTCCAGTAAAATCAGATTTTTAAAAACGCGCTTAAAAAATGATTTAAAGTTGAAAAAATAACACATTGACGCGTGAACATGTATACAAAAAAAAAATTTCCACACCACGCCTAATATTATATATTTTTTTATGAAAATATGCAGTTCCGAGTTAAAATTTAGAGGTAAGGATCCTGATTCTAATTTTTTTGCCCTATTGGCCTTAGACCGGAACTGGACCGTCTAACTGCCGGATTCGAGGGTCATCGGGACTGGGTTTTTAAATTAATATTTAAGTTTGCCATACTATTTTAATTTTACTAAATTTTATATTATTTTAATAGTGCTATTAAACGGTTTGATTTGAGCCGATTTTCAAAAACGGTTGTCTCAATAGTTTAGCCAGAAAAATATTGCCCTTAACATTGAGAATTCGCTAATGGCTGTCCAAACCTTTATGCCATACATGAGAAAAATCTTCAGTCTTGCATAATACTTTTTCTGAATAAAAGTATCGAGTTCATTTATAAAAATCGAGCCGTCTTACAACACTTAGCACTCTTTCGAGATTAGTTTAATTGTTTTGGCCTACAAGTATGCAAAATAAGCTGTATTTTAATTTTATATATTTCCCCATATAAACTTCACCGCTAATTCGCGCTAACTGAATTCAGGGTTAAAAAAGGGTGAACATTTTAAAAATTACCCCCTTTTATAAGCCTATAAACAAATTTCTAAAATTTATCTCCCGAGTACTTTTCTCCGGACATTTCGGTCCGCCATTTGTTTAATAAGAAATAAAAATTTAAAGTTTAAATAAACCCTTTCAAAATTAATCCACAAAAATATTGAACAATATGGTATATATGTATATAAATTAGTAACACTTTTGTTAGAACCGGTTTCTCGAAATTTGTAAAAATGAATTCTTCGTTTTCGATTTCAAACTCTGGTTTTGACTTTGAAAATAACAGTATAGAAGACTCCACCTTTAAAGTTTATGTATAATTATCTTAGTTATGCCCACTAGGGTAAACTTAAATGGTAAGATCCTAAAAATTCTTAGACGGGCTTGAAAATGACAAAACCTGGGCCGAATTTTATTTTAACCAATTAACCGGTTAAAAACATATGATAGTTCGAATTCCGGACATGGTTGTCCTAGGCAAAAAGACTCGGGTGAAATAATCCAAGATATAAACACAAAAAATGCATCAGACAAAAAAAAATATTCCAATCTTCTTTTTAAGGATATTTTTTCATCTTCTATAATTGAGATATTTTTTCCCGGATATTTTTATCGTGGATTCGCTAAAGAATGATAGATTTTTTTAATATTCATTTGTCTTTTTTAATCTCTCTTTTGAAACCATTGCCAAATTTTTTTTAAAAAATCTGTGGACTTAAAATAGGCAACCTTTATAATCAGTAGGGGGTGGGGTCGACTTCTGATAATTGTATATGGTCATGCGATTTTGAAATTTCCATGAAATTTTTTTTTATATAGATACAGGTTTAGACAAAATTCTTTTCCTTTGACTCATTGACGACAACTTTTAATATAGCATTTTTTTGGTATTGTATATTATAACAAAATATAATTATTTTTTTCATAGACATTTTAATCTAGGCAAAGTTAAAATAGACAAGACAAGCTTAATAGATTTTTTTTATTATCATTTTTTTATAAATAAATAATCTATGTAAAAAATGTCATTAAATATTATATAAAATTATTATATATATTATATAAATACAATACAATATAAAATAAGATTGATTGTTTGTATATACAATAAATACACTTGATTTGCCCTCATTTAGTCCACTTCAAACTGTAAATCTTTGCTGTCACTTTCATAATATAATTATATCTTAATTGTAAATTGTATTACTTCACTGAACCCATTATGAAAAGAAAATAATTACATATTTATTTACATAATCAATCATGATAATAATTTGAATTTCATAATTCATCATCCCTTTCATAAAAGTGACAGCTAATTTTGGGTCATTTAAAAAATAAATCTTGTTATCAAAAATTATTTAAAAAAAACGATTATAGACAATGCTTTGTTGGTCCAGAATTGGAGTGTTCCACACGATATTTTCAAAATTTTTGATTATTTATTCCCAATACAGTTAAAATATATACATATATAAATAAAAATTAGATTAAAAAAATTTAATTTTTGCCAAAGTTATAGCTCTGTCATAATTGATCAATGAGGTTTCCTATATTTGATTTTAAACTTTAATATTGATTTTCTCATTTTAAACATTTGCGCAAGTGGAGCACTCCAATTTTAGGCCGACGACTTTATCTGATACGTCGGGTTTAAGCAAAAGATATTTTTCTCATAATTTTAGATTGGAATTAGTGAACCAATTTATGTAAAATATATATAGTGTAATTTGTTACATTTTTACAAGATCTATAACTTTTCATTGTTAGTGTCATTATAAGAGGTACCATGCACTGCCAGACCTAGTTTTTTTAAATATATTACGTTTATTCTTAATTTTTATAGCTAATAAAGAGAGATCTAAAATATGCTAGGCAAAATTTTTAGACCCAGGTCTCTGATTGTTATATTTAAAAAATTAACAGACCAAATTTAACTTATAACTGAATCACTTATATAAATGTCCTGGTCGAAAATACCCCTGGTAAAAAAGAAACACTTGAAGAAAAAATAACCAAATTTTAGAAATTTTTTTAAATACTTTTAAAAAAGGTAATTCAAAAAATTTCATCATTTTATTAAGCATTTAAAAAAAATTTTAAAAATTGGTGTATTTTTGTTCTTGGGTATTTTTGTCCTGTACACTTTTGTCCGGGGCACTCATGTCAGTGATTCCCTGTAACGCTACCATTTTGAAAATTCGCATTAAATTATTTTTTTTAAGGAATATAACAAGTAATTGGAGCAGTAACTTTTTAATAATATGTAGCTGTAATTTTTTAAAAAATAACTTCACTAAAACTTTTTTTTAATTTATGTAAAAAAAAAATTTTTTTTCGCAAAATTTAATTAATTGAGTCATAAAAATATGACATAATTTGAAACAGGATAAAATGTAATTAATAATGCATTAAAATTTAGTAGTTGTTGTTATTACAAAAAATTAAATTACCGTAACTAGTAATTTCTTAAAAGATTTAACTACGTAAAATGCACAGCGCCTGCGCATTATAATTAGTTAAATATTTATTTTTATTCCATGTTTTTTTATGGTGGTTCTCAAATCCAGTTTTATGCTGATTATATTCAATTTAAGTTATCTGGGATAGAGGGGTCTCTAAGACACTAGTTTATAGGGGTCTAAGGGTAGGATTTACACCAGGGATACCGATATTAGGAATTTTCGTGCTTTTGAGGTTGATCCATTAATTGACACGGTAGTACTATATTAATTTTATACCCTTGATAAATGAAATTGGCAAATTCGCATTAATTTTGCTATTGTTAAAGGGGGGGGGGCTATGTTGATAAGATTTTTTATAATTTTTTATCTTACATTTTTGTAGAAGATATGTTAAATCATATATATATTAATTAATAATTATTGAAGAAGTTCAACTTAATGAAACTGGTGTGATTAAAAAAAATAAAACACGTTTTAAATTACCCACTGTAATTATACAAAG